GATGACTAGCTGCCTTCCCTCTAGTCTTACACTGCTAAATTAGGGACGGCTAGCGCAGATAGCCCTCGTGTAGCTTTGCGCGAAATTCAAAAACAAACAAACAAACAAACGATCAACGATAAATGTAGTAGTTCCAAGGCAACGTTGGATCTGGGACATCATTCTTATAAAACGCAATTAACCTCAGAAGATACATGTTTTATTCCTCTAGGAATTTCAAGTTGGTGGAGGAGTTCCAAAATGATGAAATATACAAAATAAAAGCATTTACGTACAAAAGAAGACAGCATTTTGAGTTTCGTTTTTCTTAATATTATTATCATGTGTTTTGATACATGTAAGTAGGAATAGGCTTATAATGCAAGTTATATGAACCTCTTAATTCAGTTGATTTCTGTAACAAAATTTCATTCACTTTATATTGGTTATATTTATGTGAATTTATGAAGGTTTTAATCAATCATATTCTTTATTGATACTTCTGTTTTACCACAAAACGTGTTTAGTAGTTAGCTAAATTAACTCAAAAGCAACAATATCTTTACACAATGATTAGCTGTTGTTTCATTATATCGTAATTTATTAGTTTATGGTGATGATTATTTTAACAGGATTCTATTCAAGAGGGACCCGGTAGGGCCAGGTGGTTAGGGCACTCGACTCGCAATCTGCGGGTCGCGGGTTCGAATCCCCGTCCCATCAAACATACTCGCCCTTTCAGCCGTGGGGGCGTTATAACTTTACGGTTTATCCCACTATTCGTTGGTAAAAGAGTGGCCCAAGAGTTGGCGGTGGATGGTGATGACTAGTTGTCTTCCCTCTAGTCTTACACTGCTACATTAGGGACGGCTAGCGCAAATAGTCCTCGTGTAGCTTTGCGCGAAATTCACAACAAACAAACAAACAATATATTCAAGAGTTATTGTTAGAACGCCCAAATCTGGAGAAGCATTAGAAATCAATAAGCCTAAACTTTGTGACACAAATGACGTTAAACTGAAGATGTTTTTTTTTCAATTGGTCTTTTCTTAATGTATTGTTTAATCTAGAACATAGATTGAATATAACATTAAAATGTGTGATAAAAATCACGTTAAACGTAGACGAGTCTTCACACATTCCAATTAATTTGTCCATTTCGGATACAAAATCAGACACACGTAAAAACTGCATTTCAGGTCTATTCCCGTCTCCCACAAGTCACTTCCAAAGATGTCTTTTCATTCAATGCCAGACTTCGTCAGTTGGCCGAACGATGAGAGACAGAAACGCCATTTATGTATGCAATATGATACTTTAAGGTTACAGTTTAAATACCGAAAGGAGGTAACTTGAATTTTATCATACCTTTTTAGGCTTATTGGTTTCGATTGTATCGCCAGCTCGTGAAATTAAATCTATGGAATAATCCTTCTATCTTACCGCTTTGTTAATTTTGTTTACTTATTACTTACATTAATGACTGAGGCAACACTTTGGTAGGTAGTTCCACTTCTTGCGGGTAAGGGGGTGGAGGGAGAGGATCATCACAATTGATGACTTCAGTGTCTGTTGTGTTTGGTGGTGGCGGAAGAGGTAAGTCAGGGCTGGAGCATTTTGAGGAATCCTCTATTCTAACAAGCAGTCTGTGATCGGATTCTTTCTGCACATGTGTGGTACTGGAACATGAGATTGCCTCTTTATGAATATGACATAACTCTATATCATCGTTTTCATGGGTTCTTCTATTTTCCACCTCGAGGATAGGTGGTGGTGGTGGTGGTGGTCTAGTAGGCCGTTGGTGAGGTTGGAATGGTGGTTTATTGACTCGACGAGGTGGGATTCTAGGTGGCGGCTGTAATTTATTATCTTCCCGTGAAGTGTCGCTGCGGTCGACTGTCTCTACTAAAGTGACGCCATCTGGAGTAATTACTTTAACAGTAGCAGTTTCATTGGAGTGGTGAATTTCTTTAACTTGAGCTTTTCGAGGTGACTTGTACGAACGGAAGTAGGTGGTACTGCTGAAATGACAGAAATTAAAGAAAGAGTGGTAGTAACTATTAAAATATATTTATATATTCAAATACTTTCTACCTTGTCGATTGTCAATCATTAATTATACATTTTTCAAAGATAATTTTGTTCTAAGTTCTATCAAAAAAGTCAAAGAGGACATTTAAATAATTCTTTTTTTATTTCCTTGTTAATTCCAGCGCGGCAAATCTCTAAAGTCATTATGGGTAACTTCTGTTGGAAGAAGTGTTAACTTGCTCTTTATTCTGCAGTTAAATGTGATAAACTCCATTAGTTTAGGCATAAATAATCTATATAATTTTTCATTAAAATATTCATTGTTAAAGACAAATCGAGTTAATTCAGATTTTGTAGTTTGTTTGAGTACTAAAGAAAATCTTTGTGATTTGCTTATAAATTGTGTTTATGTAAAACATTTTGGGAAGAACTTTTTAAGTGGACCAGAGGAAAAGCCAAATGTCTGTAAACTTAGCGTCAAGAGAAATTACATTGGGCTTAGATGGCGCAAAAAAGATATATTTAAACACATTTATAAAATGAATATCTAGAATTCTAAAATTTGTCTTTTCTGTTTTACCTTTTCATTGAAGGATGATCTTTTAGGTTTATATAAAATCAATTAATTTTTTCCTAACCTGGATATCAGTAAGTAACAAATCCTGTTATATACAAGGTGATTATGTGTATTAGCAAATTCGATGTTCATCTCATAACTACGTCATCCTTTAGGTATTTCACCGAGAGCATATCTTGTATAATAATTATTGTTAATATAGGATGTTCCTTATGATATCAAGTATCAACATAAATTAAGTATTGATGTATAGTAATCCAGCTTCTTTCACCTCTAATGATCAAAACCAGGCATGCAAAGTGAAAGTCTACCATCTGAGATTAAAAGTATTCCTCTAACTCCCTGCTATTACGGATTTTCTAACTCTTCAAATCGCCAATATTAACTTTCTAGGAAAGAAATGAGTTGGAAATATCAAAAAGTCTTTATTTATAATATAAGAATAATAATGACAATGTTTCGACCACCAGTGCAGTCATTTCAAGTACAAACACGTATCAGTTATTATATGTTGTATGTCCATGTAACTACTTCGTAGGGTGTGAATGGATCTTCACCAAAATTGATATGGAAGTTCATTGGGTCTATGGGGAGATACATACAAATTTTAAGTTTTACATTTTGCGTTTTGTGGTTTTTATTGGCGTTTTTTTTCTCGTTTTTTACAATTACATATAAGGGAAGCAACTCTTCATGTCCTAAGATAACCTTTCATTGATCCTAAATTTACATAACATAACTTCCGTCCAGGGGACCGGTACTCCAAATAGTACTTAATAAAAGAGAACATTAGAAGACTGAAGGCAAATGTGCATATATAATTGTTTTATAATAGCTTCTGCTATAAGTCGTTAAACTGATTAGCAAAGTCTCAAAGTTTAACTCCCCAAGATACAACAGATTGTACTGTAAGATCCCTTGAAACGCACAGACCAACTAAGGAAACACGATGAGTCAGAGATATAGATAAGGAAAAAAATTCTGCCATCATGACAAAACTTTTACTTTATAATGTAATTCGTCTACAACTCTCAAAATGAGAGCAGAAGATGTTAAGCTTGTAACAAAAGCGAGGAAAAGAAGGATTTATATGACGATATACTGTTTGAAAGTTGGACGCTATTTAAATTAGAGATAAAATTGGATTTTTTTTGGTATAAATATATTGATTAACTTCAATGTTTTTTGGCCCAAATGACCCAAACTTTCCTGTTTATAATGTGGGTGAAAAAGTAATGATTCGTACGGATCATTATATATTGATATCATCATACAGTATGCATATCACTTATCTACATAGCCACTGGCCCAGAACTAAATGAGAAACATACTGTCTTAGTTAAACGTAGTTTGTTATTTTATACAACGAAATTCCACTTATTTAAGAGATTGATTGCTTGCTAACAAAACTGGAGTAAGATAGTACAAGAATATAAATGAACAACCCAATGAATATCCTGAAGCTTTTCGTTTATGTGAGTCAGTGGTAAATTTTTGGACTTAAAACGATAAAACTCCGGGGTTAGATCCCCCCGCGAAGGACAGATAGCAGATAGCTCATTGTGTTGCTTTGCGTTTAAAAACAACGACAAAAATGCTATACAAGAGTCTTGATTTGTATAGCAAGAACTAAACGAGAGCAAGAACGTATCCATCTTTATATCTAAGTCTGACAACCTACCAATCCGTTAATTTATCTACATATTTAATTATCCTATCTAATTTCTGAACAGTTATTCTGACATAGTTTTGTTTCAGCGACTCAATCACAGCTCCGGGCATGGGTGAAGAGAGTAAGGAAAGGGCTTGTCTAAGAGCTTGCTTAGCACTTGCACATGTATGTCACTCGAATATGTTGGAAGTTTGCTCGTGTCATTCTTGGCCTCACTTCTATGTTAAATCAGGACTTCACGTATGTAAAACGTGCCAGCAGAGCAGCTGAGAAGGCGCCGTTCAGACTGCCTTCTTTAACCCCACTACTCTCGTTAAGATAGCACTGTATCAGCTTTTCCTTTTATTTTGTTCTTTGTTGATATGGTTGGCTGCTTCAAATCAAATACTTTCGCTATCGTTTCACTTAATTTCACTTTTCACTTTAATTTCAAAGCTGTTTATACTGCAAAGCACTTCATTGACTCAGCAAACGTATAAAAGCGTACCGTGTATCACCTACGATACAACTCTCACTTCAAAATACATCTGGGAAAGTATATTTTATATTTGCAATGTCTCAGGTTCTTTATGGCTCTTTTATATGATATAATCTCGAATTTTAGCGTCTCTGCAAACGCCAAATCATTTCCATGAGCGCAAAAACTTTTAAACATCTACCTGTTGGCTCTGCAAGAGAACTTAAAAATGTTTTCGCTGAACGATTCCATTTTGCATAAAGAAATTTGAACAGGAAAGAATAAACTAAATCCAAGGTTTTTCTTTCACTACGGGTTGGCGCCGAGGTAGAACTTTGGATTTTGGAGCTGAGTTCGATCCCGTGCGATATCACTAAATATTTCCTGCACTTTAAGTTCTGGGTGCGTTATAAGAGTGACAACCTAACCCTTTACGTAGATGGTGGATGGGAGGGTGCTGTTGACTGGCTGTCTTCCCTCTTGTTCAAAATTAGGGACCGCGATAGATAACCTTAGTAGCGTTGCCATAAATATAAATACCTTTAACTACTAATCAGACGTTTATTTATGTTTTACACCTACAGGAAAATCGAAGCCAGGAAGAAAAATTAGTAAAACTAAAAATCTATACTTTTGGATATAAATCTATGTTTGCGGTGATGGACATAGATATATAAATTATACGCGTGTGCTTCTGTACACACACACACACACACTCAATTATTGTAATTGCTCTCGATTAAACACTCAAAAAAAAAAATGCATACTAGCGCTCTCTACCGTTAGGAGTTATACCTTACACTCTTAACCTTAAGGGAGATTATCGAGTTATATGTTCTAATCTCCATAGCTTCGTTCTACTGTATATTACACATGAATAATTATTATCGTGCTTGGCAGTACACAGCCACACTCAATTATTGTAATTGCTCTCGATTAAACACTAAAAAAAAATGCATACTAGCGCTCTCTACCGTTAGGAGTTATAACTTACACTCTTAATCTTAAGGGAGATTATCGAGTTATATGTTCTAATCACCATAGCTTCATTCTACTGTATATTACACATGCATAATTATTATCGTGCTTGGCAGTACACAGCCACACTCAATTAGGTGAAAAGATGTGTCACTGTTAAAAAAATAATCACATCGCTTTAGAATATCACGACTCACATGGAAACTAGAAGAGTATGTTATTAGTGTAAAAGATACACTATTGTCATGCAACTACAAGTAAGCACCCACAATAATATCAAATGGTCTGTCGTTATCAGGTTTTCTTGATCTACATATTTGGATTCTAATGTTCAGAATCCAGTACACGCAGTTTCCCTCTTTTTCTTTTTACAACGCTCACACTGTAGTTTAATTTCAGTTATATTTAAGTCAGTATTTGTTGTATGTTTTTCAACTTTTAGATAGGAGAAGCTCAACTAAAACTTGAATAGAGTCCAATCAAATGACTTTAATTTGTTGCTTAGTGCGAATCTATAGGTTCACAATCAAATGAACGTATGTTTATATTTGGCAGACGGAATGATCCAGTTTTAAACAGAAACGGATTACTCTCTTATATCATGCAAGAGCCTCGGAGACGTTAGTTCTGAAGAAAAGTATAATCGTTATTGAAAAAAAAATTTTTTTGAACGACAAAAACAACAACAATAAAATGTGTGGATTTACAAACGCATGCCGAAACAACAATGGTCTAGAGCTTCTTTGTTGTTGTTCTCGACATAGTAATTTTTCTGCTGGTATATGCGATGTATTAAAACACGAATTCTAAATTTCCCCCCAGTCTTATAAGTAAACGCAAATAGCTGTGTAACTTTAATATCATAACAAGCAAATAATGATGTGTCCTCCAGAAGAAATGCGCTCAACCAGCCGGTTTTAACATAATGATAACCTCTATATGCAGCTTAACATATGTATATCAAATGTATATAAGGTGTGTATGCAGGGTATGATATAAGTGACTATACAGTTGTTTCATCTTGATGATAATATAATTTATAACTATTATTCGCCCCCCAGTGGCACAGCGGTATGTCTGCGGACTTACAACGCTAGAAGTCGGGTTTCGATACCCGTGGTAAGCAGAGCACAGATAGCCCATTGTGTAACTTTGTGCTTAATTACAAACAAACAAAAACTATTATTCTGAAACGAACAATAATTAAATTGGTTTCTATTGTCTTCGTAATATTTTATTTAGTACTAACCGTATTATACCAATTACACTAACTGTATAGTAAATTTTGCCTCACCTTGTACATCTA